CTGAACTACATCCTCAGTGCTTTTTAATTTTATTTTGAAACAGGATCTCGCTAAATTGCCCAGTCTGGATTTGAACTGGTGATCCTCTTGCCTCCACAGCCCACATGGCTGAGATTATAAGTGTACACTACTATTCCCTGCTTAGAGGCATTATTAATTTTAACCCCCTTTGTGGTATATTTTAAAGTCAGGGCTTGTGATGCTCCCTGCCTTGCCTTTGTTGCCCAGAATTGCCTTCGCTATTCCAGTTCTCTTCTGGTTCCAAGTGAATTTTAGGACTGCTTTTTCTAATTCTGTGAGATACTCTATTAGTATTTTTATTAGGACTGCATTAAATCTGTATGTTATTTTCACTCTGTTGGTTCTTCCTACCCAAGAACAAGGGATATCATTCCTTTTTCTGATGTCCTCATTAATCTCCTTTTTCAGAGTTTTCAATGTAGAGGTCTTTTACTTCCTTCATTGGATTGATTCCTAGGTGTTTCATTTTTTTTGGATGCTATTGTGAAAGTTGTTGTTTCCCTAATTTCTCTCTCAGTGAATTTGTTATTTGTGTACAGAAAGCCTATTGATTTTTTAGTGTTGACTTTGTATCCAGCTACACCACTGAATTTGGTTATTAAATCTAGAAGTCTTTTGGTGGACCTTTTGGGGTCTTCAATGCAGAGTATCATGTCATCCCAAATAATGATAATTCAACTTCTTCCTTTCCCATCCTTATTCCTTTTATTGCTTTCTCTTGTCTAATTGCTCTGGCTAGTGTTTTCAGAACTACATTGAATAAGAGTGAGAAGGTGGACATCCTTGTCTTGTTCCTGATTTTAGAGTGAAAGCTTTCAGTTTTTCTCCATTTAGTATGATGTTGGCTGTTGGTTTGTCATAGATGGCCTTTATCAAATAGAGATAAAGACCATCTATTCCAATTTTCTGTAGGGTTTTTTTGGTCACGAATTGGTGTTCCTTTTTGTCAAATGCTTTTTCTGCATCTACTGAAATGATTAAATGGTTTTTGTTCTGTTAATATGGTGTATTACATTTATTTGTTTGTGTATGTTTAACTATCCCTGCATCCCCGGGATGAATCCAACTTGGTCATAGTGTATAACCTTTTTGTTTTGTTTGTTTGCTTTTGGTTCTGGGGATCAAACTCGGGACCTTGCACTTGCAAGGCAGGCGGTGGCATCACTGAGCTAAATCCCCGGCCCTATGAATTTCTCTTGCAGAACTGCTTTCATTGTGTCCCATAAGTTCCAGTATGTTGGGTTGGTATTATCATTTAATTGTAGAAACTGATTTCTTCTTTAATTTCATCTGTGACCCATTGTTTGTTCAGGAGGGTGTTATTTAATTTCCATGTGTTTGTAAATTTCTTGTGGTTTCTTTTGCCATTGATTTCCAATTTCACTGCACTATTGTCTGATGGTATGCATGGGATAATTTCAATTCATTTGCATTTACTTAAGCATGTTCTATGAGCTAATATCTGGTCTATTTTGGAGACCAACCCATGTGCAGCTGAGAAGAATGTGTATTCTGATGTTGTGGGGTAGAACAATCTGTAGACATCTACTAAGTCCATTTGTTCAAAAGTTTGGTTCAGTTCTGATATTTCTTGTTCATTTTTTTCAGTTGATCTATTTGTGACAGTGAGGTTTTGAGGTCCCCTATTATAATTGTATTAGTGTTTATTTGATTTTTCATGTCTGTTATTATTTGTTTTATATAGTTGGGTGCAGTGATATTTGGTACACATATATTTATGATTGTTATGTCTTCCTCTTGGAGTGTTCCTTTTACAAGGATGTAGTGACCTTCTTTGTCTCTCTTAATCAATCTTGGCTTGAAATCCACTTTTTCTGCAAATAGAAAAGCTACCCCAGCTTTTTTCTGGGTTCCTGTCACATGGAGTATTGTTTTCCAACTTTCAGTTTATAAATTTCTTTTTGAATTAGATGTGTTTCTTTATGTTCTTTTTTTTTTTTTTTGGTACCAGGGATCGAACTCAGGTCCTTGTGCTTGCACAGCAGGCAGCGAAACCACTGAGCTAAATCCCCAGCAGATGTGTTTGTTGTATGCAGCATATTGTTGGATCTTGCTTCTTGATCCATTCTGCCATTTTTTTTTAATTGGTGAATTGAGACCATTTACAATGATGGTTATAACTGATATATATTGACATGCCTCTCATGTTATTTTCCTGCTGTTGGTTCCCTTTTTTCCCCCTCTATTTAATTGCTTTCCTTGCCTGGTGGATTCATTCTATTGGGGTTCAAGGAGTTGTCTCTTTCTAGAATATCCTTCAGAACATTTTGGAGTGCTGAATTTCTTCAGTTGTTCATTGTCATGGAAGTATCTTATTTCTCCAATCAATTTTGAAAGATAGTTTTGTGAGGTACATCAATCTGGATTGGACACTGTTTTCTTTTAGGGCTTGAAATACTTCACTTCAAGCTTTCCTTGACTGGAGGGTTTGTGTTGAGAAGTCTGCTATGATTCTGGTGGGCTTTCCTTTATAGGTAATTTGTTTCCTTCCTCCAACAGCTTTTAATATTCTGTTCTTGTGTTGAATTTCTGGAAGCTTAACTATTACATGCCTTGGTGTAATGTTTTTTCATCATGGCTATTGGAGTTGTATATGCCTCACTTATGTGTATGTCAAATTCTTTTTCCTTGTTTCTTTTTTCTTTTCTTTTTTTTTTGTGGAACTGGGGATGGAACCCAGGTCCTTGCACTTGTGAGGCAAGAGGCAGAACCACTGAGCCTGAGCTAAATCCCCGGACCCCTCTTTTTCCTTGTTTGGGAAGTTTTCTGCCATAACTTCTGTGAACAGTTTTTCTTTTTAATGTCATTTGTGCTATCTGCTGCTTTTTCATTGACTCTGATTGTTCTTTGCATCACCTAGTAGCTATTGGATTGATTTTTCATGGTCTCTTGCTATTTTTAAGAAATCTTTTTTTCATGATTCCTAACTGAAATCCTGTCTTCTGTATCTGATATTCTGTCCTTACATTGGCTAATTATGATGCATGTACTTTCAATGGAATTTTTAATTTCCTGGATATCTGTTTGAATCTGTTCCATGGATTCCATTTCTTTCTTATGTTGGGCATTCATGGTTTCCATTATTTTCCTAACTCTTCTTTTTTTTTGGTATCAGGGATCGAACTCAGGACCTTGTGCTTGTGAGGCAGGTGCAGTCGTACTGAGCTAAATCCCTGGCCCACCTCTATTTCTTTTTATCTGTATCTGCTCTGAAGTCACTAACCATATGTTTTATTATGGTCACCATCTCTGTACTTTTCTGAGATACTAACTCTGATTTGATTTTTTCTAGAGTCTCATTCATCTGCTTTGTTGCTTGCACTATCACTTCAGAGAGTCCAGATAGGGTAGGGTTCGAATTGTTCCACCCTCACTGAATTTGCCTGTGATGAGCTGAATGTTTGGGGTTGCATCTTGGTTAAGTGTCTTCTCATTTTGTATTTTTTAAAGTTTAATTCCTGGGTTGATGCTTATGAATAGTTTTATTGCTAGTATTTAGAACCCTTAGTAAATGATTACTTCTCAAAGATGTCTTGCAGGTGTAGCTGGATTTTGGATTTTAATCTGTTGCAAGATCCTACCTCTTCAGTGTATTGGGGATGAGAAGTTGCTGCCTATTTGGCCTATCCCTAGTTCTTTGGCACTGGCCTATAGTATTGTTCATGACCCTTAGGCAGTCTCAGTCTTGTCTTACCAGGTAGGACAACTGATTCGAACAATTATTTCACTGTAAAGTAGTACAATCAGAATTACAGTAGCATCAAACACAGCCTAGCAAATGACCAACTGTGATAACTTATTGATTTGCCACTAGATTTGTGGTTATATGACAGAATCTAAAACAAACCAGAAAATTGTATGTAGTAAATATGCCCTCAGTATGGCAATTTTATCCTCAGGGGAGAAAATTTAAAAGGGGTTGGGGGAGTGGGGAATAGAGAAATAGAAGAAGGGGAAGAGATTAGAAGCAAGGCTGGAAGACAAAAGAAGATACCCTTTGGGAAACTGGTGAAGAAGACAGGAGGGAAAGAGAGAAGGAAGAAATAAAAACAAGAACAAAACATAATAACAACAAAAAACTAGAAACAATGTTCACACTTATATAAAAACAAGAGTAAACAATCAAGGAAAAAACAAAACAAAACAAGAACACAAGAAAAGTAAGAAGAAAAGAAAGTCCACTTCAAAGTGTGTCTCTGCTGTCACTGATAGACAAAGTGGGCAGACAGGGTCCAGATCTGAGCTGATTAATCCCAGCAATCCAGCTGTAGATTTACAGTAGAGTAGTTGATAATCCCAGCAAGCCTGCACCTTTAGTTCCACTGAAGTTCGGGCTGGTTTCTGGCTGTGAGGTTGGAATCCATTTTGTTCAGCCTGCAACACTCCATGTGTCTCCTGCTGGACTGAACTCAGCTCCTTGACCTCCTATTGACTTGAACTCAGTTCCATCTCACTGATGGAGCCAGCCTGCAGCTGCCCTGAGTTCCGCTACCAGCCAATTGCCCTCATCTGGGAGACATCAAAGCCTGTATAACTCAGCAGCCACTGCGGTCTGCTGCTTCCACTGCTCCATTCCACTGGTGTGTTTCCCTGTGGAGGCCTCTGGGGTCACCAATAGTCACCGTGAATCTGCAGGTTTGAGTCAGCCTCCCCTTGAAGTTAGTCAGGGCTCAGGGAGAAAGCATAGCTTGTGGCCTCCTTCTTCATTGAACTCTCTCTCTTCATTCTCCCTTGAGAACTTGTTTGGAAATTTCAACAGAGGAATGCAGCTACTTGTAACTCTTGACTAAGGAAATAGTCCTCCTCTATCAGGGGTGGTTATGCTCTTCAACTGAGCATGCAGCTTGGGATGCACATGGAGCCTAGCCAGCCTGATCAGTTGAATCAACCTTGGTGATCAGTGAGATGACAGATGTTGCAGCCAGATCACCCTCACATCCTCTTTGCTCTCCTTGTAGGCTTTAATTCTTGCTTCAAATTCAACATGGCAGAATGGAGGAGTCACACTGGACCCATTCAGAGAAAAATCAACTAAAGATACAGGTAATTGGAAGAAAGAGAGGGACAATGCTGGGCATGGTAGCACATGCCTATAATCCCAGCACTCAGGAGGCTGAGGCTGGAGGAGCACTGCAAGTTCAAGGCCAGCCTGGGCTACTTAGTGAGTTCAGAGCCAGCCTGAACTACAAAGGGAGACCCTGCCTCAAAAAACCAAAAAAAAAGGGAGGGACCTATATCCTGATGCCAAAATCAATCTGAAATAAGAGACTAGTAGATCAAATAAAACATAGGCACAAGACTTCATAAAACAGTGCATCAGCCCCAGGGCTACCAGTGGTATAGGCAGCCATACTAGGAAGTCCCCAAGAAACTGATGGACTGAAAAAGTATGGCTAACTCAAGCCACACAGGATAGATTTGGGGAAAAAGGCCTCTTGCCTCTTTTGCCTTCCTCTACACAAAGGACGCTGTAGCCTAGCAGCACATTTAGCTGGCAAACACAGAGGCAAGTGACTAGAAATAATCTGCTACTTCCCCAACAGACGGACCACAGCCCCTTTTTCTTTTCTCTCTCTCTCTCTCTTTTTTTTCCCTCTGTCGTGTACCCTAACAGCTAACTAGAAAACCTAGTGACCAAAAAGTTAGGGACTGCAGCATAGCAGAGTCAGGGAAAGGATTGATGACCAGTGGCTTGAGAGAAAGACACAGACACACACATGGGATTTAAACAGCCTCAGGTCGCCACCTAACCCACTAGAGAGGAAATTGAAGGGCAACCTAGCAGCCTTGGGCTGTATTTGCAGTGGGTGACAGCACCCCCAACCCCACGCCCTGTTCTGCGGCAAGCTGTGAAACAGGATAGAGAAGTGCCAGTGGGGGTGAAACAGGAGGCTGTGCAAAGACCGAGTGGAGCCAACTGTACACAGGACTGGGAGCAGCGCCGGGCTTTCCCTGCCTGAGGGCGCCACAGCAACCCATGGTAAGGAGGCTTGGGGGAAATGGAGAGAGATATCCAAAAGCTGCTGGCTGAAGACTGTCCCCAGCTCCACAAGATCAACCCCATACCCAGCATTAATTCTACTGCAGACTTAATGGGGGTCCACAGCAAAGTTTTGGGACACTACCACAGAACTGTAGGCTGCAGAGGAATTTTTTTCATTGTTTTGTTTCCTTTTTCTGTTTTTTCTTTGTTGTTTAGGTTTTTAATCTTTAGTTTTATTCTTTTCTACTTATCTTTTTTTCTCTTTCCTCAACTATCTCTCTTGAGTTTATGATATTTCCATGTGAGTGAAAATTGTCTCTTATCTTTCTGGTTCACTCTGATTTTCTTTTGCTTTCTCCTTCATTCTTTCTCTCCTGCCCTCTTCTGAAGTTTCCCAAATCATGGGTGATTGTCATTTGTCCTCCAGCCTTGCCTCTACTACATTTCCCTTCACTTATCTTTCTATCCCTCAGGGGTCACTCAGAAGGCTGAGACTGGAGGATCACTGCAAGGTCAAGGCCAGCCTGGGCTACATAGTGAGTTCAGGGCCAGCCTGAACTATCCTATCCCTCTTAAATTCCCCCCCAAGGTAAAATCACTCCGCTAAAGGGAAACTCATTGCAAAAAAGTTCCTAGTTTATGTTAGATTGTGTTATATAACTGTAGATCTTGCTCCTATGGTTAAAGGTACCAAATTAATAGTTACCACAATTTGCCAGTTTCCAGGCTGTGCTTGATGCTACTGTTATTGTTGAGTTTTGCTGTTTTTTTGGTACCGGGAATCGACTAGGGACCTTGCACTTTCAGGGCAGGCGGCAGAACCACTGAGCTAAATCCTTGGCGCTGTTATTGTTCATTGTACTACTTTAGCCAGGATGTCTTACCTGTTGTAATCAGTTGTTCTCCCTTGTATGACAACACTGTGATTGTCTGGAGCCACAACTATCACCATAGTCCAGTACCAAAGGATGGGGTGCAAAGCCAAATGGATAGAAACTTCAATCCTTAATAAACTGGGAAGGTAAGATCTTGGGGCAGACACAAAGACCAAGAGCCACCTATGCCCAGAAGACATCTTTGAGGAACAGACATTTCCTAGGGAAGCCTTGATACTAGTGACAAAGTTATCTACCCTAAGAAATTTACAAGCATCAACACAGGAAACAAAATAAAACAACAGAAAAATAGAAAATGACAAGACTCAGAAGTAAAATGCAATCCCAGACTCCAGCCCACCTTGGACAAGTCCAGGGAACAATGAGATAGAGGAAATCAAAAGTCACCTGCCTGAATTTTCTGAAATCGTAACAGCAGAAGTAAAAAAACAGATTCATAAGGTTATAGAGAAAATAATCTCTCAGGTAAAAAAAAAAAAGATGATCAAAATGAAGGACATGCTCAATGAATCTAGAGTAGACACAGATTAAAAAAAATAGAGGACTTTAAGAAAATGATGGAAACCATGAATGTCCAACATAGAAAAGAAATGGAATCCATGAAACAGATTCAAACAGATATCCAGGAGATTAAAAATTCCATTGAAAGTATAAGCAGCAGATTGAACAAAGGCAAAGACAGAATTTCTGATCTAGAAGACAGGATTGCCGTTAACAACCATGAAAAGAAAGATATCTCAATTTTCACTTCAGATCCTTGCTGGATCCTGGGGACCTACTTCTTCCTTCTGCTCTTCCTCACATTGCCATATTTCAGTGTCTGGATGCCAAATCTTGGAGAGGCTGTTTCTGCTGATGTTCACCACTCTACCATCTTTCCACAAGTCCAGGAAAGCTTAATTCTTCACATTTTCATATCTTTTAAATAATTGTAGCTAGCTAGGAGGCTGAGGCAGGAAGATCTCAAATTTGAGCCCAGCCTGTGCAACATAGTGACTTAAGTGCTGGGAATGTAGCTCAGTGTAAAGGCTCTGGGTTCACCCCCTCATACTAAAAAACAAACAAAATAAAAGTTAAAAATAAATAAATAATTGTACATGTCATGGTTGTTAGTATGTTAGTCTTGTATATAAAAAATGAATCCACCTCCTTGGGTTTGGATTATGTTACCTTAGAAGAGAGCGACTCCTCATAATTGTCCTTCTGAGGAAGCTGTACCTTGAATAAAGTATATCTTCCCTGCAGAGCACAGAATCCTTTGGAATTTTTATTGTGTTTGTTTTTCAGTTAACAGTCAGCTCCAGATTTGAGGAAATTGAAGAATGTGCAGGAACTTTTACTTCCATTGCAGGTCCCAAAGATGAGGACTCCAGTAAGGTACCCAGTGGAAGCGCCTCTCAGCAGGCATCGGCCGACTTCAGGAGGCTCCTGATCAACAGGTAGAAGGGTAGGAAGGCGGTGGAGGATTGTAGGTTGTAGCTTCAGAAAACTTCCCCTCCTGGGGCTGCCTCTTTGGGTTGTGTGTGTTTAGTGGGGGGAATCCTAATCTAACAGATTTGATACTTTTCCGACACAAGGGTTCCCTAAAGGGGAAGGGCCAGAAGAGAAAAAGGAGCCATTGGTCCTCTTCCTGTGTTGGAACCTGACATGCTAAGGTCAATCTGGGCCCCATTTCTGTCTCTATCCTCCACTCCCAGAGCAACTCAAACTTCTCAATATACCCTATGCCTTTGAGTCTTCCTGCCTCAGTCCTGGTAAAAAGAAACTCCACAAGAGCAGGGAGTTTGCCAGGGTGATGTGCTGCTAATGATCAGAGACTAATAGTTCAGTGAGTATATGAATGGGTACTCCCAATTGATTTGTCCACAGCTCAAATGATATTTCAAGGGAGACTTTCCTGACTATCCCTCACCACACACACAGCTCCATCAACTTCTCAAAGGCTTCTAACCATCCTTGGTGAGCAGGTTGAACATGTCTTCTCCTAATTTCACTTTAAATGCCAGTAGTTTGAAATCAGCTGTAGTGGAAGAATTTACATCATGGAAATGGGCATACACTACAAATCATAGCCTTTTCCCCTCCAAGAGCTAGTTGTTAGATGTTTACCAACACACAACTGCCCCCAGTCCTTTTTTCTCCACTTACAAACTGTAATTCAGTCAAGTCACTCAATTGCTCTGAGCTTTGATTCTCTGTAAGGCAGAGATCCCATAATATCTAGTTAATTGGATTGTTCAGAGGATTAAATAGGACTATAATCCTGTAACATAGTACAGTGTTTGGTGCCCAGTAAGTAATCCAGGACACTTTAGTATGGTTCCAGGTATCCATTGCTGCATAACAAACCAACCTCAAATTTTACTGCCTTAATACATTTGTCTTGCTTGTGAATCTATAATTCAGGTGGAATGGGTGAAGACGCCGCATAACTGGAAAGATAGGAAAGCTAGAGGTTAGACTCCTCTGAGATTGCGCCGTTCCTGCTTGTGCATCAGCCACTGATGCTGGCTGTCAGCTAGGGCTATAATCAGAATCCCTACATGGCTCCTCCATGGTAGCCCCTGTTCCTCTCAATATGGTGGGTGGGTTTCAGGGGTGAGTTTCCCGAGAGGCTAGGCAGTAGTTATAGCACCATTTCTAACTTTGCCTTGGAAATCACACAGTATCACTACATCACTTCTTCCACTTTCTATTTACTTCTTTCACTTTCTGTTTCTTAGAAGCAAGACTGTACAGCTGGACCATCTTCAAGGAGACTGGAATTAGACTTCCTCTTTTGATCTGAAGACCATGAAAAAATTTGAGGATATGTTTCTAAACCATTACAGGTATTATTAGTATTGTTGCTCTTTGCATACTCTACCTGCTAGTAAGTGAATTATCCTATGGAGCTCCCTGTGGAAGGGCAGGGATCCATTAGACTTGTTAAGGTCCATCCCCCTCATATTCTCCAAGTAAACCTAGGGCCCTGTCTACTGCAGAATTCAGTAAATGTAATAGAGATGAATTCTTGCTAGAGCTGGCCTTTAATATTTATACTCTATTTCTGTTGGATGACATCCCAGTTGACCACATATACACATAGGTGAGGTGTCCTGGGCAGGACACAGCCAGGAGGGCAGGTGATTTAGCAGCAGGGCTGTGGATCCAACAGACCTTATTCATGGGGTGGATGATTATAAGGGTAAATTTATGTCTTAAACAAATTCCTTCCAAAGCCTCTCCTGAAGTTGGGAGGCCATGGTCCCTGCCTGGGAGTCAGATCATGAGTTTAGCATACAACTTCTTTCTTCGGCCTATGGTTCTCTGGTATGTCAAATGAAAATAAGAAAAAGTTCATGGATTTGCCATTTGGAACAGGTCATCGTATTATTTAGAAAGCTAATACGCAAGCGCAAGGACCCGAGTTCGATCCCCGGTACCAAAAAAAAAAAAAAAAAGAAAGCTAGGTTAGAAGCCAATTTCTTCTTCTGGAAATGTTTGATGGCCCACAAGGTCAAAATAGTACAAATCTCTTGCTTTCTTCTGTGGGACATGAATACACTTCATAGTTTCTTTGGAATCCACAGAGCTAGGGTCTAATCCCAGAGTGAAGCTTGTACATGTGGACAGGATGTTTGGGTGGGGGTTCCTTGATAAAGACCCAGGAAGGAATGTTCTAGAAAGCCCTTCATTTCACTTGTGCAGACAGAGCTAGGAGTGCAAGTTGGGAGGGCTTGGGAGAGTGAGCTTGGCCTGGCCCCTTACCTGGCCAGAGGCCCCTTCCGGCCTTAGCTGCCCCCTCTCAGATTCCCCTCCTGCCCAGCTTATGTAAGCACATTCCTGTCCTCTCTTGGTGAGTCTTCCAGGTAAGTGCTAAGAAGGACTGAGACCTCTCTGTGCCATGCCTGGCTGGGGTATTCAGGTCAGGGCTTCTAAAGCAGCTTCCGAAGGCATCAGGACCTGGGCCTGTGCTGGTTGCATCACAGTGAACACCAGGGCCACCCGGGCCTGCCTCTGGCTGTGAACTAAACTCTGGGCCCCCTGGGGGCCTGCTGTGGGCCAGTCTGCTCATTTGTGAAATGCTCAGAGTTGTCTGGAGGAGTTTTTCCATAAGTGTAGTTCATCCATCTCATGGTTAGCAGAGATATTTAGGAGGAAAAACTGCCTTGAGCTCATGAGTAGGTGACCAGTGAGCACCTCCGGCTCATCCCTGGGTACCTGTCAGATACCGTCTGCAGCAGGCCTCTGAGCATCACCCCAGCCTTGCAGGTTAAGGGGCACATGCAGGCATTTCCAGCCTGCTCTGTGGGCTGGTGGAGCTTGGTCCTGTGGCCAGAAAGGTCCCCGAGGTTGACAGTGAGCTGTGCACAGAGACACGTCATCAACAGGTATGAGAATTACAGCTGGGGACACAGACAGAGGTTGCCACACAGACAAGTATTTTGTTCACATACTTTTCAGAACTATGAGACCAAAGATAATTTCCGTAGAAATCCCATTACCTTTGCGGTGATTATCATGGTCTTATAGCGCACACCTGGGCCACTGGAAATGAGTTGGCCAGTAGAGGTTAGCTTATATTTAGGAAAGAGAACACCATTAACTGTAATTCAACTGGCTAAAATATTTCCACACCATTTTCAAGTTATTGTTTACATTAGTACTATTTTCATTTTAATATTAATGTTAAATGGCAGTATATAGCTTCCTACAGATAGATCATTAGAGCATGAAGGTAGCATTGGAAATAGTTACAAAAATTGCACTATAAAATGGGATTGGATATGCTAGGGCTGATGAGTATGTAGAATGAAGGGATTGTATACAAGCCAAAGAAACGTGAATCAGAAAGACAGGCATCAGATAGCTGGGTGTGGTGGCACAGGCCTGTGATCCCAGCTGTTAGCTGAGGCAGGAAGACTATTTCGAGTCTGAGGCCAGCCTGGACTACACAGTGAGATCCTGCCCACCCCCCAAAACAAAAGACAGGTACAGTAATGAATACCTGAAAATGGGAATGCATGTCCTTTAGTCTTTGAAATATTCTCTACTGTGCAACTTTGTTGTGGAGCTCACTGAGGCTTTTATATCATCCTTGCACCAGGCCCAGTAAGCTAGTGAGAAAGCCGGGTTTTTACAGAATATGACTAAAATAAAATCCAGTGTAATAAAACAAAAACAAAAGCTCCAAAAGAGAACAACAATCAAAGCATCATTAAAATTGTCCAGCTTATAGTGAAAATCAACATCATTCACACCATGGTTTGTAAACTGAGTCATACTCTTCTGAGAAATAATCAGGGAAAAAGCAGAGCAAGCTCTTGGCAAAATTACTGATGACACAGCACTTTCAGATGACACATAAAATCAACGGCACACAGTGTGAAGGAGCCACTGCTGTCCCAGTGAGTGCTAGTGGAAATTGGCTTTATTGTGAATAAAATCATTTATGACAAGCCTTGTTTGTTGTCAATCCAGAATCCATTCCTTCCCTTCTTTCCCCCCCGCCCCCAACCCCCTGGTACTGGGAATTGAACTCAGAACCTTGCATGGCTAAATCCCCAGCCCTCCTTCCCTTCTTTCTTGACTTTGAGACAGAGTTTCGATATGTAGACCAGGCTGGCCTCAGACCCTCAGTGATCCTCCTGCCTCAGCCTCCCCCGTGCTGGGATCACAGGCATGTGCCACCACACTCAGCCTGGATTCTTGATTTTGATCCATGCACCAGTGTCTCCAGTCTCAGGCAATCAATTATAAGTGATCTAAATCAATCATGATCAGCCTACTTCCATTTCCTCAGACTCCCTTACCTCTAGGAGACCATGAGACCCAGTTCTGGCCAGTGGAATATGATGGAATGTCTGCTGAGAGTCTTTCTAGGAACATAGGGACACTTTTGGTTTTTTAGTAAATTAGGTGTATATGCTGGTACCCCATCCCAATGTCTTCCCGCTGTGACTGTAGTCATGAGGTCTGGTGGCTGTAGATAGGATGGCTGGCCCCAAGTAAAGGCTGAATTTGTTAGCTATTGAATGTGTGTCCAGACCTGGTTACAGAACAGAAGCCAATCTCTCTGCATTTTAAGCTGTTGTAATTTAGGTTCTCTTTTCTTTTCCCTCTCTCCCTCCCTCTCTTCCTTTCTTTTGTGGTACTGGGGATCAAACTCAGGGGTGTTCTGCCTCTGAACTACATTCCCAATCCTTTTTATTTATTTTTATTTTGAGACAAGGTCTTGATAAATTTCCCAAGCTCATTCATCCTCCTGCCTCAGCCTTCCGAGTGCTGGGGTTACAGGCTTGCTCTATCAAGCCTGGCTTTGTGCTATCATTAGTGGGGTTTTTTGTTGTTGTTGGATTTTTTTTGGGGGGGGTTGCTTTTTGTGGGGTTTTTTTGTTTGTTTGTTTGTTGTTTTTTTTGGTTTTTTGAGACAGAGTTTCACTTTGTAGTTCAGGCTGGCCCTGAACTCACTGTGTAGCTCAGGCTGGCCTTGAACTCATAGTAATCCTCCTGCCTCAGCCTCCCGAGGGCTGAGATTACAGGTGTGTGCCACCATGCCTGGCTTATCACTAGTGGTTGAAAGCATCGCTGATGGGTGTCCCACTGGGGTGTGCAATATGAGCATTCTCTATGGTTTCACAAAGCATATGGAGGAAATGTGCTTGGTGATTTTTTTATTCCATTTCTCACTGAATTCCTTTGCAAGATTAGAGATGGGTACTGGTTCCCGGTTGCCTTCAGCCTTGAGGAGCCCTAGTAAGAAATGGAGAAGAAAGAGAGTGAGATCAGGACCCGAATCCCCTTTTCCCACCTGAGTCACCACGGATCGTGTCTTCAGAGCAGGTCACCCCATCAGCCCTCTCCTGCTGACCATGGTCCCTCTCCTCACTGGTGGTTATCACACCCTCCCTGGGTGTTCCTGCGTCCATGTGTCTGTATGTGAGCCTCCCTCAAATCATCCTATTTTGAGTGCTCTTGCTTGCCATGCTAACTGAGCAGCCAGCATTGAGTCTCAGATTTAAAACACAACTTGCATCTGAGCATCAACTACACACCGCTGTATTCACAAAGACCAGTTGTCAGGCACTGATCTGGCTCCTGACTTTGAGATGTGTATATGGAAACAGAGCAAGAAGAGTCAATGTTTTCCATTCATGGCCCCTCTGTTTTCAGAAATCTTCGAGAAGAAATGGACAGCAAGCAAAGACACTGTGGAACAAAGTACACTGGCTGGAGAGGGAAATAAATTCACATGAGGTTCGATATAAGCACCACTCTCTGGCTCTGATGCCTCTTTGATGTGGAGGGTAAGCCCAGCAGCATCTCCGTAGCACCTTCAGACCTTCAGGATCTTTTATTTATTTACTTATTTATTTATTTATTTATTTATTATTTATTTATTTATTTTGAGACAAAGTCTTGCTATGCAGTTCAGGCTATCCTTGAACTCACTATGTAACCCACAGTGGCCTTGAAATTGCAGCGATCTTCCTGTTTTAGCCTCCCGAGTGCTGAGATTACAGGTGTGCACCACCACACCTGGCTACCTTCAGGATCTTGATGACCCTGCACTTTAGGCTTCAGGGCGAGGCTATCACTGTTTTTCATGTTGAGGAAAAGACGTCAAGATTTTGAATACAGAACTGTGGGACCAAAGCTTAGCTGTTGAGAATAAAGCTCTTTCTCTGCATTTGAAGGCTGCTTTCTGCTCTTGGCAGAGAAATAAATCTATATAAAAGCAACCATGAGGAAAATAAAAAAGACTATAAATCCTCAAGCCACCAGACAAAAATGCTAACATGTGTGCACACACATGCATATCAAAGAAATCAGCTGGGGATTTAGTTCAGTGGCGCTGCGCCTGCCTCGAAATTGCAAGGTCTTGAGTTCGATAACTGGTACCGAAAATAAATAAATGAATGAATGAATAAATAAATAAATAGAAAGAAAAGAAAACAAGAAATGCATGTAGTGAAACATGGGAGACAGAGGAAACACTGAAATAGAAAAAGAAGATGAAAGAATTAGGGCTAATATACCAGTGATACCAACAAATGAAAATGGGATAAGCTTGTCCTACGACAGAAAAAAGATTCCTATATCACGTGATAAAACAATATTCTACTCCAGGCATGATGAGCACCTGTGATCCTAGCACCCCAGAGGCTGAGGCAGGAGGATCTCCATGAGTTCGAGGCCAGCCTGAACTGCAAAGTGAGACCCTGTCTGAAGAAAATAACCAAAATAAACAAACAAACAAGAAAGTGTCCTTTTTGTGAGTTGTATACAAACGATACACCTTTACCAAAATAACTCAGAAAGGTTTAAAAATAAAAGATAAACCAAAGTACATCAGAAAATACCAAGTTGAAGCTGTAATGTAACCATCAACCAAACTTATATTAAAATAATGTTATTGCTGGGTGTAGTGGTCCACACCTTAGGAGGCTGAGTCAAGAGGATCACAAGTTCATAGCCTGCACAATTTTGGGAACTTGCCTCAAAATAAAATTTTAAAAAAGCTGGGGATGTAGTTTAGTGTTATGCTTGCCTAGAGCACGTGAGCCCCTAGGTTCAATCCTCAGTAACTAAAAAAAAAAAAATTAAAAAGTAAAATGTTAACATAAGAAAAAAAGTCAAAAGGAATTTAAACAAGAAAAAGAGAGTTTTATCACCTGCTGCACAAGCACAAGGACCTGAGTTCGATCCCCAGTACCAAAAAAAAAAGAGAGCATTATTCACTGTAAGAATCTGGTTTTCAGCTGGAGATAGTAGCTGAAGTCAGCACTCAGGAGGCTGAGGCAGGAGAAATCACCATGAGTTCAAGGTCACCCTGGGGCTACATAGTGAGTTCAAGGCCAGCCTGAACTACATAGTGAGACTCTGACTCAAAGGAAGGAAGGAAGGGAGGGAGAAAGAAAGAAAGAAAGAAAGAAAGAAAGAAAGAAAGAAAGAAAGAAAGAAAGAAAGAAAGAAAAGGA